GTCCCGACAGACATCATCATTTAAAAAAACAAAAACAAAACTACATTTAAATAAATCCAGTAAAGTATAAATTTAAAAGAATTCCTAAATTGCATTTCAAAAAATTCTTTTAGGAAAAGGTACTTCATTTTAGAAACTCAGGGTGAATCTTCCAGGTCTAAAATCAGGAAACAGAATTCAAAGTTAGTTCTGCTGATATCCTGAGTAAAAGTCCAACAACCTGAACTGCTCTATGTTTCTAATTACTCATGTGGATCAGCTACATGTTGCATGCATTTCTTATAAATCTTCCTTGCACCCTTGATGAATCATATGTACTGTACAATCTAATCAGGTACAGACCAAGGGTCAAATAACAGTGTAAAGGGGAATTGTAATCCTCTGCTGCCTTTAAAACAAAAACAAAACACCAAAATTGCTTGAGGCAGACTGTGTTGATGGGAAAAGGGTGGGGTAGATGCTTCCTCTTTTTCTTCTCCTGTAATAATACCTTTCAAATTTTCAAAACTCATCTTCCCCAATTGGGCTTTTCACCACCAGAAGAAAACCCTGCAAGCCAAAAACCAGCAAGGTTTTTTTGGGTGCGTGGGTGAGGTTCTGGAATAGAATCTGAGGTGAATTGCAATCTGAGGAATCTCAGACGTAATTTTTTAAAGATTTGAGTCTCTTTCTGACTAATCTAAAGATATGCGGTTTTACTTTACGGATTGTCTGTAGACCATTGGTTTTATGCTGTGTTCTTTGTATAAGTATGAGTAGCAATCACTAGGCTTTCTATGTGAAGTGCTGCTTTTATGTTCATGATATAGTTGCACAATTTTGCACCTGAAAATACTTAAGATTATACTAGGGTTACCTCCCCTCTGGGAAGTTACATCTATCCAACTGGTTCTAGGCCATAGACCTTTAAGATATCTAGCCATAAGGTATCTTTGTTGTAATCAGAACATAAGCGTACCCAGTGAAGTTACCCATGAAGGTAAAAAGGTAAAGGTAAAGGACCCCTGACAGTTAAGTCCAGTCGCAGACGACTCTAGGATTGTGACGCTCATCTCACTTTACAGGCCGAGGGAGCAGGCGTTTGTCTGCCAACAGTTTTTCCGGGTCATGTGACCAGCATGACTAAGCTGCTTTTGGTGTAACGGAACACTGAAATCAGAGCAGCGCACTGAAACGCTGTTTACCTCCCTGCCAGAGCAGTACCTATTAATCTACTTGCACTTTTTGGCATGCTTTTGAACTGCTGGGTTGGCAGGAGCTGGGACCGAGCAACGGGAGCTCACCCCATCTCGGGGATTCGAACCGCCAGCCTTCTGATCAGCAAGCCCAAGAGGCTCAGTGGTTTAGACCACAGCGCTACCCGCATCCTTTACCCATGAAGGTAGGTGAGGGTAATTGATGGCCCTAACCAATTACTAAAAAGCTTCCTTGGATGGGTTCTCTTTGCATCCCTAATCCCCACCTTAAAAAATTCAGCAAAGAAGGCAACTCCAGCTGGCTATTTTGCAACAATGTGGTTTCCAGATTCTTTTTGTTTTTTAAATCAAATCAGTTTACATGACAGTAATTACTACAACAGATGGGCCAGAAGCCAGAAAGTGGCATTGTACAGGCAATGGGCTCAAAATGCACCTGGGAGCTTATGTGTGTGTAGGGGGGGGAGTAGGATGGGAGGGGGGATAAAGCCAGATTGTGCGCCAGCTGAGAATCTTGCCAGGGAGCATTTGCTGAGCAATCTTAGAAATACCGGGAGCAGCCACAAAGCAGGAATCTCCACTGAATCTGTGCTAAAATGACAGGGGAGTGGGAAGAAGTGAGCATCTCTGTCTGAATTTAAAACCATATTACAAAATGACACAACTGCTCCCCCTCCTCTCTTGCTTCTCTTTCACCGCAATTCAGGATTTGTGTATGTGTATATATGTGTGGTTTTGCTCCTGGTTTCAGATCAATCATGTCAAACTTTGCATTAACTACTGGTACTCTGTGGGTTAAACCACAGAGCGTAGGACTTGCCGATCAGAAGGTCGGCGGTTCGAATCCCTGCGACGGGATGAGCTCCCGTTGCTCGGTCCCTGCTCCTGCCAACCTAGCAGTTCGTAAGCACATCAAAGTGCAAGTAGATAAATAGGTACCGCTCCAGAGGGAAGGTAAACAGAGTTTCCGCGCACTGCTCTGGTTTGCCAGAAGCCGCTTAGTCATGCTGGCCACATGACCCAGAAGCTGTATGCCGGCTCCCTCGGCCAATAAAACGAGATGAGCGCCACAACCCCAGAGTCGGCCACGACTGGACCTAATGATCAGGAGTCCCTTTACCTTTACCTTACTCAAAACATATGAAGGAAGCAATTACACACACAAAATTGTAAAAGCGTTTGTTCACTAAAGAACCTAGATAGTGGTCGATTTGACATAGGCTACACCATACATACATTTATCATGGTGCTCCATCATACCACTTTAAACAGTAATAGTTTCCCCAAAATAATTATGGGAACTGTAGTTTGTTGAGGGTGCTGAGAGTTGCTGGGAGAACTCAATTCCCTTCCATGCATTACAGTTCGCAGAGTGGTTTAACGATCAATCACTATACACAGGGAACACTGGGCATTGTAACTTTATGAGCGGACAAGGGGTCTCCTAACAACTCGTAGCAACCTTAAGGAACTATGGTTCCCAAGATTCTATTATTCTCTGGGCGAAGCCACAACTGGTATCATAGTACTTTAAATGAATGGTGTGAATGTGGCCATGCTTTCTCCTTTCCATTTACATCTATTGAACAGGACCATATGAGAAGAAGGGAGTGATATTTTTAATGGAAGGGTCAAATTAGGGTTATTGTGCTACTATTGATACCATTTTGAACTTGCATATACATCAGAATACCCAACAGTGGTCAAAGCATGGACAAGTGTTTATTTACCCATAGCACCCATTTTGAAGGATGGACATTCCGTTCACAGTGGAAAATATTGCTGGACACACTGAGATGCTGGTGAGTGGGTGAGGCGCATTCATAAATATCCATTTATTATAAAATTATGGGATCTGCTATATCTATTTCCCTCCCAAAATCTCTCACTAAAATGAAGATTAACCAAAAGATGTTATACATGAGAATATATATATATATATATATATATATATATATATATATATATATTAAAAATAATAATTGCAGCACTTTGGAGACCTGCTGCCTGATTTTCTTTAAAGAATGCTTTGAATTCTGCATTGCTCTGAATGAACCCAATTTGCTTCAGAGTGACCTGGGACTGCCTCAATCTGATTACAGGCTTGGCTTCCCTCACTTTCCACCCTGTTTTGGCTCTAACATTCTGAAATCCTTTGGTTCCCTTTGCATTTCAGGAAGAGTTGAGGATTTGGAGCTGCCTGTGACAGATTATGCTCATGTGTTTTTAAGAATAAAAAGAATCACAGATTATTAGTTATATTTTATTTTATTTCTGCTAACAATGAAACATGAATAACCAGGGGCAGAAGTGTACACTGGGGCAACTCAGCCAGATGGATGGGGAATAAATAATAAAATTATTATTATTATTATTATTATTACCCGCAACATGAACTATAAAATTCATGTGGAAACATTCTCACAAATTCTTTCAGCAACCACAGCAAAGGCATTTATTTTCTAATTAATATTGAAATCAACTGTAATTAAGCAGAACTCTTAACAGGCCGGATGAGGAGATTAAGATCAATATTCATATGAATCATGCTGCTACAGTGATTAATAGCCTTCAATTGTCAAAAGTAGTACAGTGATAATAAAGCATTTATAAAAAAACCAGTGGAGATACATTATGTTATTTAGATATGAAGTTTTTCATTATGGGCACATCTTTAAGGAGCACAGAGCAGGGATCAGTCGGAAGAAAGAAGTGGGGGGTGGGGAGTGTGCGTCAACAGGATATTCATAACACTTTTCTGATCACCCTGCAATTAATCTTAGAAGGTCCACACATTTCTCAAATATAGCCTATTGACTCCTGCAGATCAGAACTCCATATAAATCTCCAATACATTAATTAAACTAAGGGAAGTTAACTAATTAAAAATATCATTAACCTTTTAAAGCAAATAACCAATTTCATTGCAACGTTACACCATCCAAGAGTCCTGCTGGATCAGATCAAAGATCCTGTAGCCACTCAAGAGACCTGCTGAAAGCACCTCTGCCACAAGTTTACACTTTTCTCTTCGGAAGAGAAAAGTCTGAATCTAGCACCTAAGCGACATTAATGTGGGAGTCCTTGTGAGAGTGGTTAAAAAAAAAAAAAAGCCACTCAATCAATTGAGAGTCTCCCAAAAATAAAATATGCTGGCAAGTATGACTTGCTGATCCCTGTCACAGCCACCTGCCACATTTCACAGTGTCATGGTTGAGACAACAGGCAAAGAATCCTGGGCACTGTGGCTTGGTAAGGGTGCCGACAGCTGTCTGGACACTCCTATTTCCCTCACGGAGCTGTAATTCTTGGGCCTGTGGCAGAAGGGGTTTCCTAACAACTCTCAGCACCCTTCACAAACTGCTCTTCTCAAGAGTCTTTGGGGGAAGCCATGGCTGTTTAAAGTGGCATGCTATTGCTTTAAATGTATAGTGCAGATGGGCCCAGAGTCCATATGAATTACTGACTTGGTGCCAATGCCAGACTAACACCCTGCTTTATTGTCTTGGCATATATAGCAGATGGTGGTGGTGATGACGATTTGCTGGCGTCTAGCACCTTAATTCCCACTCATTTCAATGCCAATACCGTGGTACCTTGGTTCTCAAATGCCTTAGTACTTAAACAGCTTGGAACCAAAAACTGCAAACCTGGAAGTAAGTGTTCCAGTTTGTGAACTTTTTTTCGGAAGTTGAACATGCTCTGTTTTGAGTGTTACGCTTCCGATTTGAGTGCCACACTTCCATTTTGAGTGTTACACCGACGTCTGTCTGTTTTTGCTATTTATTATTGCGTTTTTGTTTTTGCGGCTCTTTTTGTTTTGTTTTTGTGACTGTGTGGAACCCAGTTCAGCTACTGATTGATTGATTGTGTGATTGCAGTACATTGTTTATTGCTTTCATTTTATGGATCAATGGTCTCGTTAGATAGTAAAATTCATGTTAAATTGCTGTTTTAGGGGTTGTTTTTAAAAGTCTGGAACAGATTAATCCATTTTGCATTACTTTCCATAGGAAAGCACGCCTTGGTTTTGGAACACTTTGGTTTTGGAACGGACTTCCGGAACGGATTAAGTTTGAGAACCAAAGTACCACTGTATTTAACTTCATACTTTCAGGTTTTCTTAACTTTTCCTGCATTTTACTTTGCCCTGCTTCTTTGCCTCATGTGTCCTATTGGTTTTAAGCCAAAATAAAACAAAATAAAATATCATCAGCAACAGCAGCATTTGTCTTTGGAGGACAAGGTAAAACTGGTCAATACAGTGAATTATCCAGTAGCTTTACAGGTAGAAAAATGTCCCGGAGAGTGATGATGGACCCCTCACTTATGTTCAGCAGAAAGGAAGCTAGTAATTAATCAGCTCTCTTCTCCTTAATAGTATCAGTTTGCTTCAAAAGAAAAGCAGTGGAAAGCTGAACAAGGCAATTGAATGCTCTGCTAGCTGCAGAAGTGAAAGGGGCCCCATATAAATCAGGGTCTGATTGGCTTCCAGACAACTCTTTGGTTATCTGAAAGGTCTATAACAACTTTCTGTTTCAGTGAAAACCTGTGAATCCTTTTTTCAGTATTCTTTCAAGACCAAGAAGAGGAATTATACAGTGGAATTTGTGGGCCATTTCTTGGGCTCCATGATCACTGCAGATGGTGACAGCAGTCACGAAATTAAAAGACGCCTGCTCCTTGGGAGAAAGGCGATGGCAAACCTAGACATCATCTTAAAAAGCAGAGGCATCACCTTGCCAACAAAGGTCCGTATAGTTAAAGCCATGGTTTTCCCAGTAGTGATGTATGGAAGTGAGAGCTGGACCATAAAGAAGGCTGATTGCCGAAGAATTGATGCTTTTGAATTATGGTGCTGGAGGAGACTCTTGAGAGTCCCATGGACTGCAAGAAGATCAAACGCATCCATTCTTAAGGAAATTAGCCTTGAGTGGTCATTGGAAGGACAGATCATGAAGCTGAGGCTCCAATACTTCGGCCATCTCATGAGAAGAGAAGACTCCCTGGAAAAGACCCTGATGTTGGGAAAGATTGAGGGCACAAGGAGAAGGGAACGACAGAGGACGACAGTGTTCTCGAAGCCACAAACATGAATCTGACCAAACTGCAGGAGGCAGTGGAAGATAGGAGTGCCTGGTGTGCTCTGGTCCATAGGGTCACGAAGAGTCGGACACGACTAAACAACTAAACAACAACAACAAAATTTGTGGGCCTGAATTTGGATGCTGGATTCTTGTTGAATTTTTAGGTCCCTGAACTGATCCTTCTTTGAGTTCAGAGGTTAATAGGAATGTCGCCATTTTATGGCACAGACAAAGGTAGACCACCTACTAATCACTGGCTGGGAGATGTTGCTCATTGGTGCAAGCATTATTCCAATCTTCTCCCCCTTATAAATCCATCCCAGTTCTGCTCAAAGAGGAACATATTGATCTACCCTGCAGGCCACCTTGAGAAAAATTAAGCAGCAGCTCTTGTGTTTCCTAAGACTTATTGACTCCAGTTCTTCTGCCTTCAATTCCAGACATTCACTGTCTGCTCCTCACTCTCTGCTACTGCTGGGCTGGGCAAAAAATTATCCCTCCACCCACAAATCCTCACCCACTCTCCATCAATTAATGAGAAAATTCATTCAAAGAATTCTCAAAGAGGAGAGAATTTTTTGGTGAAAATTTCATGGGTTCTATAAGTGTCCATTCTTTCATTCTGCAAATCATATCCCTGTGCTCTGCAGCCTTCCCAGGTGCTAATTCTTCAGTTAAAGCTCATGGCAAAACAATGTGAGAGAATTATCCCTATGGACATTTTTCAGATCAGAAAGCAATGACAACTGAGGAGGCTGCAAAGTGCTGGATAAATGTTTACTGGGAAGAAAACACACACACACACACACACACACACACACACCTCACAACAACAACATAGCTTAAAATCCCACACTGTCCAAAATTTCTATAATGCCCTGAGACAGAAAAATACCCTGAAAGCCTCTTTCTCAGGGAAAGAAACTTTTGAGAAAATGGAGGACAGGTTTTGGAACAGCAGAATGCACTGCTTCCCAAAGTCTATACAACCATATCACTTCTGACCTACAGTAGACGAGTCCATGATTTTTTTAAAAAAGAAACAAGCCACAATAAAATAATATAAATCAGAGAATAGGATTTATTTATTATTAATTGAGAATGAGGGTATATTGAGAACTTCCCTTGGGTTTTAGGACTATTTCCAAATCAGGGGGCAAAGAAAAGATCCACCAACCTGGCCCATTTTTCAGCCTCACACCTTAGACACAGGTACCCCAGCTGGCTAGAGTCCTGATAGGCTTAATGCAAAAAGTAATTTTTTATTGAGGCAGGGAATGGGAAATAGCAGCAGATATCTGAAAACCTGTTGCTATCTGGATATTGCTGGGCTACAAAAGAACACAGGAAGTTGCCTTATGCCATTGCTCCAACTAGCTCAATATTGTCTACAACAGTGGGGAAGCCTTGGTCCTTCAGATGTTGCTGACTACAACTCCCATCATTCATCTTAATTGGCTATGCTGGCACTGGAGTTCAACAACATCTGGAGGGCCACAGATTTGCAATCCCTGAAAACACAGACAACAGTCATTGATAGTGCTTAAGGAAGTCAAAACACAGTAGCCTGCTAAATCAGTCAATGGCCCATGCAACCCCTAATCTTGTTCTCATAGTGACCAAGCAGATGCCCTACCAAGAAACCTGTAAGCAGGACCTGAGTGAAATTGCCCATTCTCTGCTTGTGATTCCTAGCAATGGTATTCAGAGGCATAGAGGTAGAATGTAGTCATGGCTAGTGGCCATTGATGGTCTTTCTTCCGTGAAAGCTATGCTTCACTGAATAGCTTTCTACAGCTGTTGCTGTTCCGTCTCCAACCTTATTTACAGTTCTTTAGTACAAGGATGGCATTTGCACATCTTAGCTTTGAGTGTAAGCTTGTCTGCCTACATAGCTTTTGAAATAAAACACCTTTCAGCAACTCTCTGAACACTGTAGTCCACACAGATATGATCACAGGGTTATGGGGGACCCCTTGAGCCCAGAGGAATGCTGGCCAAATCTTCAGTAAACTGCATTCAGTGTGTTGTATTTCACTTAATAAATACCTGTAAACAAAAGTTCTGGAAAGCTGTTAATATCTGCCCCAGAGCTTGCAATGTGAAGAGACTCTCTCAAAAGCTGAGGCACATGCTGTGGAGGACTCTCCCCCCCTACCTTCACCAGACACTGCCATTAGAGTGTTTTAACTTCCATTAAGTTGTCGCTTTCCCATGCCACCAACTTTCCACAAGGGACAATTCGTTCTGACAGAACCACAGGCTGTCACATACACTAAGAATTCAGTAGAAGTGAGTGGGGAAAACCCTCAAAGCTGATGGATTTATTAGTGATTAGAGCTGGCACATCCACTACCTACAAACAAAAGGTAGGATGATGAAGGCTTAGACCTTATTAATTGCATACTGACCACAATGCTTTGGTTTTGAAGGATTTGGTAGGGGGTGGGTCACAGAGAGTAAGTTAGGGAAGGGAAAGGAAGGTAATTATTTCATGGGAATATCATCATCATGACCATCATCATTTTGTGTGACAGTGTTTGTTCTTCCCCTAGAAAAGAGCAGACATTGACACTGAGTTGTCAGCATACAGCAGACCCATCTTGTTTTACATTACAAATTCCTCACCTAATGGCTTTCAAGCTTCCAACATTCAGGGGGTCTGTGTTTGCTGAGGAATGTGTTATCATTACGGGTGCTGGCTTATAGGGTCAAACCCTTTTGCCCCCCCCATATTTTTGGGGGGTAGGGGCTAGCCCCCCCCCAATGTCCCAAAAGTGAACAGCTGAAACACAGAGCCAAGCACGGTGTGCTGCAGAGGCCTGCTCCTTCTCTTCCTTCTCCTGCCGCAGAGGGGAAGGAGAGTCAAAGCATCCTCCCTTTGGTGGCGGCACCAAGAGGAAGTGGAGGATGAGCTGCCAGCCATTGAGCAGTGTAGCCAACACATTTGGCTCCACCCCTGGCTCCTCCCGACATCCTGACATCACTAGTGCAATGTTGTTGTCCCCCCACCACCAATTGCCCTCACAAGCTGGTGCCTCTGGTCATCATCATCATCATTTACCTGCCCTTCACTCTAAGGTCCCAAGGTTGGTTACAACATTAAAACACAATTAAAAAAAATAATTTTAAACAACTTACAATTACAGAAATAAGGTGGGTCCTGAAAATTTGCATCTCAAGTGTCAAAATAGCCAGTGTGGTGTAGTGGTTAGAGTGTCAGACTAGGACCTGGGAGACCAGGGTTCTAGTCCCACTTGGCCATGAAGCTCAGTGGGTAACTTTAGGCCAGTCACAGTTCCTCAGCCTAATATACCCCACACAGTTATTGCAAGAATAGAATGCAGGGGTGGAGAACTGTGCAAGCCAAACATCTCTGTGTGAAGGGAGTTGCACAATTTAGGGGTTACTACAGAGAATGCCATCTTCTGGGCTAAGCCACCCCAGCCTGAGCTTCTGAAGGCAGAGGAACTATTAACAGGGCCACTTCTGTCAGTCTTAGCACCCAATACCAGGCCTGTGTGAAACTTGTCTGAGGCCTGGGGCAGGAGCCTTGCACCCATATCATCCTCACATGCCAAACCCGCACACCACCAGAGGCAGCATCCACAATGAGAGATAACACAGAAAGTCTCTGTCCCTGGTTCTCACCAGCTGTTCCACCAGCCTAGTGTTCATGCAATGCTTTGCGTGCAGAAGGCCCCAGGTTCAGTTCCCAGCATTTGCATGTAGGGCTGGGGAAATAATCATTTTTGGGATCCTGGCATGCTGCTGCTAGTTAGTGTACGCAATATTGAGCTGAACAGACCAATGGCCTGTCTCAGTATAAGAATACGTGTGAAAGTGTCATAAAGGAAAATGGCCAGAAGAGGGAGAAAAACAAAATAAAACTGCTAGGAGAGCCACTTAATATTGCAAGGTATTTGTACGTGAGTGAGAGAATGCATAAGAATGTACGAGGAGCCCTTCTGAATCAGGCCAATGCCCCTTCTAGTCCAGCATTCTGTTCTCACAGTGGCTAACCAGATGTTCCAGTAGGAAGCCTGCAAGCAGGACCTGAGGACAATAGTACTCTGTGAGTCCCAGTGACTGATATTCAGCGATATAATGCCTCTAACTGTAGAATCAGAACATAGCCAGCAAGGGAAGCAGGATTCAACTTATACAATCATAGAATTGTAGAGTTGGAAGGGACCATGTTTTACAATATGCTTGCTTGCTCCATTCACCATTTAGATTTTTAGGTGTACACTTGAAATGGGATGCCTAAAAAATAAACAGATCAACTATTGTTATTTTATGGATTACAGGTTTGGGCCCTAAGAATGGCAAACCTGAGGCCTGCTGAGCCTCAGTTGTTAGCAAACCCTGCTTAATTGGCAAACGATTCATACAGTAGATGAAACTCAACCCCTGACAACCCCACCCCCATCCCACCCACCGCCCCAAACTTTTAACTAAGCTCATCAATTACTCTTAACAGTCTAAATAGTTGGCAGTGTTTACCCAACATCCTTCCCGATTTCCTCGGCTCGATCTTGCAGCTCATTAAAAGCATCTCTATTTATTTGCTGTGTGTTACAGCCCTTAACTTTGGCACAATGTGCGAAGAGGAAGCCAATTTTGCTTTTCCCTGTGGTGTTAATTGGTAGAGCATGCTGCCTGCCTCTTCATTAATTATGTCAATGTGTATGAAACTTCCATTTCAAGGCGGCGAATTAACAAAGCTTCTGAATGAGATGGACCAAAAAAGACCAAAAAAAAAAAAAAGACCACAGAAAAAGAAAAAGAAAAAAACCCACCCAGACCAGCTTGGAAAAGATGGGTTGCTGATGGGAACGATTGGTGGTCAAAGCGAGAGGATCTGTTGCAAACAGAACAGAGTGTACTCCCCTCACCATCCTGTTTAACTCCTCAGATGTCGCTGCCAGCTTTCAGCAAAGTCATGTCAGAAGTAAACAATCAAATTTCTGGATGAAAGTAAATTGCACAGCCTCAAATAATACACGTCAGAGACCTGATTTCAGGAGACTACTGGTGTGTTTGAATGGAATGCTTTAACTGGCTCTTTCTGGACATTTTTCATTTGGGGAAGGGGCATAGCTCAGTGGCAGAGTATCTGCTTTCCATGCATCTCCAGGTAGCTCTGGAAAAGATCCCTGCCGGAGACCTTGGAGAGCCACTGTCAATGTGTGGACATTACTGAGGCAGATGGACCAAGGGACTGACTCAGTATAAGCCACTTTCCTGTGAGTCAATATGCCTTAATCTTCTAACCATTGTATGAATTTAAAAGGTAAATAGACCCCTGATCATTAGGTCCAGTTGCGGATGACTCTGGGGTTGCGGCGCTCATCTCTGGGGTTGTGGCACTCATCTTGCTTTATTGGCGTACAGCTTCCGGGTCATGTGGCCAGCATGACTAAGCCACTTCTGACAAACCAGAGCAGCACACGGAAACGGTGTTTACCTTCCCGTTGGAGCAGTACCTATTTATCTACTTGCACTTTTACGTGCTTTCAAACTGCTAGGTTGGCAGGAGCAGGGACCGAGCAACGGGAGCTCACCCCGTCATGGGGATTCGAACTGCCGACCTTCTGATCGGCAAGCCCTAGGCTCTGTGGTTTAGATCACAGTGCCACCCGCGCCCTATACTGTATGAATTTAATATGTTCTAATTGGGGGGAAATTCTGAACTCCTTCAATAGACAAGTGGATAATGACAATATGGGATGCAGTAATAATACTGATGGATGGGGCCAGGCTGATCCCCCTCTTGCCTATATATTTGTTTGTTTAAAGTGGGAGGAACAGTCCACCAATAGTCCTTGATCTCTTGGATAATGGCAGAAGCCAGTGTGAAGGGCTGCAGTTCATTTTTTGAGCATCTGCTTTGCATGCGGAAGATCCCAAGTTCAATCCCTGACATCTCCAAATACGGCTAAGGATGTTCGAAGCCTGAAACCTTAGAGAGCAGCTGCCAGTCAGAGCAGGCAATTCTGAGCTGACAATGGTCTGACTTAGTATAAGCTAGTTTTCTACATTCCTTCCTATGTTCAGAGCCCCAGTCTCTCTGCCTGTTGTTTGCTGACCAACTCTAGTCTGATACCGTTGAAGCAGTTTAGCAAGCCACACCAACAAAGATATGCAGGCTTTGCACTGTAAATCCAAGCGTTTCCATACAAGTTCAAGTTCCCAAGTTTTTGTTGTTTGGCCATTCTCTGGAAACCTGCCTTGGCTACCTGAGTTGAAGAACCAGGGTCAAAACATGATCAGCTTGATGCTTGGAGTTCCCATTTTGGCTTGCTTGTCACGTTTTCCTGCCAATACCATGTCCATGGGTGTCAGTGTGTCAACCAGTACCTCTTATGGTGCCGGCAAAAGGTCTTAAGAATTGCACCATCAAAATGCTTGAGAGGATGCATGAGCTCATTGGAAGGACAAGCCCTGTGATATTCCATAAGTCTTCAGACAACTCTATACCTTTGCTGATCAACACTCTTCCAGACTTAGCTGGTGGGTCCACTTGGAACTGTCCGTGGATGTTCCCTGATCTAAGTATGTTTACTTATCTTGTTCAGGTCTTTCT